TTACTATATTTGAACTAAGAATGGGAATGATAGAATTCTGGCTCTTATTAGCTTGTGGGATTCTCATTTCACAGACAGTCAAGGCATAGGGCTAGTGAGAACAGAGATATTTCTCATGCTACCAAATTGTGCTTCTAATTTTGTCTTCTAGTCAGGACAACATAGTCAAGAAGTCATTACCAACCCTAAGCCCTAAATACATTTTCAGTCAACTGGTAAAAGTTACTCTTACATTCAACAGATTAGAAAAATATGCCCTGGGCCCATCTATCTCCTAGCTGGCATAGTAACAAACAGTGTTTTTCCAGCCCAACAAACCACATCCTCTTCTAGGAGGTTTCCATTGTATTAAGGAGAACATTTTCTTAAAGCTTTTATGTACCCCTGAAGCCCACTGCCATCCTCAATGCATAGGTATTACATACCATCGCTCATGCATAGGTATCATTGTTCTTTATCATTAAAAAAAATTATACTAATTCTCTGTGCAAGTCCTTTAGATGTGTTTTAGAAGTCTGATCTAAGGTGTCTATGGTAGCTTTGAATACAGAAAGCCTTTAAAATATTACTAGGCATGTTGTTTTAGATCCAAATCAAGTATTGATCATTGTGACTGTGGCTTAGTATACATTTAGAATTATTGTTATTTAATGAGTTGAGGTTGTTCCATACTTATATACAGCAGTGACTAGAAATGGCATTCCTATAATGAGACCATGCTGTATTCAAATCAACAAATTCGAAATTTATTTGCAGGTAGTATAATGACTAAGGCACTGGACTCCCACATAGGCAACTGTGGTTCAAGTCCCAGACCTGGTGGCTTGAAAATCATGCCAGGCATGTGCATATGCATGTCCAAAAGCCCAAAAAGAAAATGGAGAATGGATTGCAGTGTGGCCATCCCACTTGGAGGGTGATTTTTCACTTTCATTCTCTCTGTCTCTCTTTAGAAAGCTCACGTGCCCTATGCAAAAATGTAAAAACCAGACAAAAAAATCTTTGCATAATTTTAATCTATTAAAGTTTTTGTTCTTGCTATTCTGAAGAGTCACTTCAGAAAGTCATTTATTATTCTTTTTACTCACAAAACAATGCAATTTATAAGTTACTGATGACACATTAATTTTTAGATGGAAAAGGTAATTATTTGATTTAATATGCTAATTAAATCAAATTTGAAAAAAATGCCCAACGTAATTTTTTTTTGGAGAGGTTTTTGCTATAGGGTGCATGCACTCGCCAGAAAGAGACAGAGAGACAGAAAGTGAGAAATCACCCTCCAGGGGAGATGGCTATGACGTAATCCCTTTTTCTACATTCTCTTCCCAGGATCTTGAGTGCACGCACACACGCACCTGGTGTGAGTTTAAGCCACCAGGTCCAGGACTCGAACTGTGGTCGACTATATGGGAGTCCAGCGACATAGCCATTGCTCTGACTGCTGGTCCCAGAAATTTAATACACCTAATCTACCTAAACATTGCACTTTAGTCTAGCCTACCTTAGACATGCTCAGAATACTTACACTAATCTACAGTTGGAAAAAAAAATCATCTAACACAAAACCTATTTTATAATAAAGTGTTAAATTTCTCATGTAATTTATTGAATACTGTGAAAAATAGAAAGTGAAAAACAAAATGACTTGGTATGCTGCAAGAATAGTGAAAGAGTTTGTAATACATGTAAGTCTCCCAGGAAAAGATCAAAATTCAAAATAAGTTTTGTACTGAAGCCATATTGCTTTTGTACCCTCATAAGCTCAAAAAATAGTAAGTTGAACCATCATACGTCAGGGACTATTTGAATGTGTTATTCCAGAAAGGGAAAAAAAAGTCGGTTGCATTTTTTGAAAATTTCTTTTGATCTAGTGGGAATTTATTTAACACATGAGATTTGTGGACTATTGTAAAAACTCCACCAATCATGCACTCTACACCTTTAAGCTATGAGGAGCGAGAGCAGAGGGTTTATTCAGACTCTTGAGCCAGTCCATCTGGGTTAGATTCTTAGTTCCCCACTTAAGTGAGTGAGTCAGACAGGACATTTAACTTCTTTATGTTTCAGCTGAGAACACACTGGGAATAACAGTATTATCTAGCTTGTGGATTACATGAAGACTGAACGAATGAACACATATAACGTAACAGTGCTGGCACATGGTGAATAGGCAATGAATGTTAGCAATGATTCTAATATGTGATAAAGTGAGGAACTATCACTATTGGTCACAATGGGATGAAAAACTGCATGTAATTTTTGTATTTTATTAGGCTTCATCAAGTTTTTAGAGAACCTAGTATGCTTTCTGGTCTGAATGCATGAAGAAGCAAAGAGAAATGGCTTCTCTAAGTGAAACTGACCTCTGTGTCTAGTGCCTGAAATCAGATGAAGCTTGTCAGTGTGGGCAGACACCAGAAGTAGACCAAGCTTACATCCCACTTCTCTTTTATTAACTGTATGGAAGTTAATGGAAGGTAGGGGATGTACACCATTAAATTAACTGTGCCAGCTTAAGGTTTAAAACTTGGTTTACTGTTAGAGAAATTTAAGTTTTTAATCATGATCCAAAAATCTGTGTACCTCTTCGGTTTTACTGCAAAGGAAAAAACAAGTTTACCACAGTGGATTGTTATAGTACGTCTGGTATTTATTCCTCCCAAGAGGCCATCTGCTTCGAGAAAGGCAACGGGGGGGTGCCCTCCATTAATATATCTGACTGACGGCGTAATGACGTAAAGTTCCTTGTTGACCCTTGCAATTCAGAGTCATTGTCTTGGAACATAGAATTTGATTATCTCTTTCTATTGTATAACTACAAATGTTAGGGTAGACTGTGTTAACTGTGGGCCTTTTGTTCAATCCGTTTTTCAGACATTACTCTTCATTATCTTAAGTTGTTTTGATTACCAAGTCCACCAGCCACGAGAACTCAGATTACTAAAATTAGAGGGGAAGGGATGGCTCCTTCTGGTTCTCACTCTACAACATCCTACCGGATGCAGGTGTTACTTGCAAAGTAAAGTTGCCTTCAGTGTCCTCGGTCTCACGTTGTACAGAGGGCCAGGGTGGGTGGAGCCCTTGCAACCTGCTTCCCTGAGCGTGCGCCGCTTGCGGGTATCGGGGCACGCGCAGGACCCACATGGTCCCACTCGCCTAGTCTCGCTCTCACCTCAAGGGCTGTCAACTCTTACGCCCCTCCCTGCGCACACAGCCCCCTCCTCACTCTTCCACCCCCTGACGCCCCGCCCCAAGGAAGGACGCACCACTGTCATTGGTGTGTATTCCTCTCACTCCTATTCCAGAACCAATCACTCGAGTTCTGGTGGAGAGCGTTGGAGCCAATAGGAATGCTTGCTGAGGCAGCTGTAGGGTCTTAAGCGCCGGGAGGCGGTGCTGTGGGCGGGGCGCGGATGAGGGGATTAGTTGCCGTTCTGAGTGAGGAACGGGCAGAGGCGACGGCGGCGGCGGCGTTTGCGGTGGCGTGGGTTCCGCGGTGCGCCAGGCACCTCGAGGCCCTCTCCCCTTACCCCAGTCTCCAGAAGCAGGGGTCCCGGCTCTCCCTGCAGCTGCTGAGTTCTCCTGCGCTTGCAGCCCCACTAGAGCTGAGGAGGCTGCGGGCGGCCCCCGGGGCGGTTGCCCTGTCAGCGCAATGCCCGGGGCGGCGGCAG